GGGAAGCAGTGCCTTGGGGACCTCACGTGTAAATGTAAATAAATGTAGTTGTGTTGGAAAATGCTCTCAGGGCTGCTGCCTCTGTCCTGGGGCTGTGCTGCTCCGTGGAGGGCGTCTGTGAGGGAGGGCAGAGGAACTGGGAGATGCCAGGCACTGGGAACCCACAGGGGCAGGCCCCACTCTTTCCTCCTGGTGTAAGGGGCCCCTTCAGATGCTCCGGGGACTGACAGATGCTGAGGAAGCCCTGATCACTCCCACGACCCACTCACAAGGCCCCGCCGGCTTTAGGGAGGCTTCTCAGGGCCTCCCATCATTATCAGTATCCCTGGAAAATCCCGGGATAGAGAGCGCTGGCTGGCTTTTGTTGTGCTCGATGGGAGCTGAGGAGAAGGCAGCTGCCTAAAACATGGACATGGGGAGAGGCGGCTGCTCCTGCTTAACCCTCATCAGGAAGAGCTCGGGCACTGGGCTGAGGGGAGACGTTGAGGTGACCGTCCACATGGGTGTGTTTGGGATACAACGGGAGTGGGGGAAGTCCCTTTGCCTGTTTCTGGGCAGGAGAAAGTCTTGTCCAACTAGCTGAAGCAGATGCTCCTTGCTGTGGCCACAGGGACTGGCTTCAGGGGCCCTCGGGGTCCTGCATGGAGCCCCCCACAGCTATGATTGCCTTCCCATATGATGACGGAACTCGTGTGGAATTGATGTGGACAGAGATTTACATTGGTATCTAAAACAGTTCCCTCCCAACACACCATCACCTATGGGAACAAGCATGACCAGCCCATCAGGCACAGGGTGGGTGTGTCTGCTCGTCCCAGGGCCAGGAGGAGCTGTGGCCCAGGCTGAGAGGGGCCGAGGGTCAGCCACCCTTCTGCCAGGCACAGACCCCAAGAGCAGAGCAGGGGCTGCCTGGGATGCGGCACCGGCTGTTCAGGAAGTTCCCTGGGAGTCGGGGGCCAGGTGTTTGCCGAAGGGAGACTTCCAGAGTCTATGAGTGAGGTGAGGACTGCATCAGGAGAGGGACTGAGGTTGGGGAGAATGCTCTGCTCTTTCCCAGGTTGTCCTGTCCTCCCCATCTCTGCTGAACTCCCCTCACTCCATGGGCCTACCTCTGCCCCCCTTACCCCTAACCCACCTCTTAGAATCTCAGATCCCAGCATGGACAGGACCTGGCACCCGCCCTGGTTCCCTCCTGGCCAACACCTTCTTCTCCACAGTCTGAGTTCTGATTCCTCCCCCTCAGACAACAAGGGAGGAGGGGCCCTTGTTGGCTCAGGACCCCTGTGACTGCCAG